TACTTTTGTAAATGATAAAAAATTCAGTGGGGTTCGGCTACTCCTACTGAACCCTTAATATATTGAGATTTTTCTGCAATTTCTATAGATATATATAATACAAAAAAAAAAGGAAGAGATATATAATACCAAAAAAAAAAAAATCAGTGGGGGCAGCCCACAATAGATCTGTATCAGCTAAAACCTTCGACTTAAACTTTGGAGCCCCTCTCTGGACCACAGGGCTTGGTGGGGATGAAAATTTTGATTTGAGTCAAGGCTAGCTTGTGGGTTAGGCCTAGCTTGGTGTTTTTTTGAAGGCTGTTGAGCCAAGATGTTTAATTGTATTTTTGGGCTATCCATGGTCATCTATATTTTCTTGTGGGTTAGGGAATAGAGGGTTTTTTTATTTTATTCTTACAGGGCAAGAAATGTTGAAAGTTAAATTAATAAATACAGAGAGTCGAAGTCTGAAATTCCAAAATTTATTAGAGATACTAACCCCGAATCATCTGTAGAAAAGAGAGAGTCACATGCAACATTTGTAAACCAATTTTCTTTTGAACTTCCATTTATCCATGTTTATCTAAAACATTTGTTTCTTAAAAATAAAAATAATAAAATAAAAGTAAACTAGACCTATTTATCCCTCTAAGTCATTTTATTATTCTTAAAAATAAAAGTAATAAAATAAAAGTAATAGATTGTGCATCGCGCAACTTTCAATTTTGAAAGTTACAAATATCCACAAAAGGCACAATTTGTATCGCTCATCTCTCTCAGTCTAATATTAGATGTGCTATCAATATCTCCAATTTTAAATTTCTCGAAATTCTAGGATTTATTATTATTATTATTTTTTTACTTAGCTAAAATTCTCAACCCCTGATATAATCATTAATAACGGTCTTTTTGTTTAAATCCCTTATTGGGCTTGTTTTTCTAGTGGATAATGTTATTTTATGAATGGGCCTTCGAGTCCTATCTCTGGGCTAAGTGGATGTCTTTCTTAAGAGAATATTGGGTAGCCTTGGGGTACTCCCGTCAGCTTGTCCACTTGAAATCACAATCCAATAAAAATATGACAACTGGCTAACTCTCCACCTCAACTTCTTACTCAACATGCCATTAACGCATACGGCGTCAACTTCGTTAAAAAAAAATTAGCAAGAGGCGACGCGTTACCCGGATTGAGGAATTATCTTCACCATCGCCGGCCCCACCAACCAGCGGCCATCGCCGAGCACAAAGCTCGTTCTCGGGTAGCCCAGAAATGTCCCTTATGATCTCGCCTAGTTGGCTCACCAACGAGTCTGAGCTAAAGACCCACAAGAATTAAAGATTTTGGAGCGATTGAGAGAGACAAGATGAGAGAATTGCTTGAATCTGTACGGCGGAGTTACGAGACATACGCCATAGTTTTGAAGGTCAGAGCGCCGCCGGCGCCAGAGAAGATGGCGCGTCGAGCACCGGTCGATTTGGTGATAGTATTATATGTGAGCGAAGCGTGACGGTAGAGAAATTGCAGATGATGAAACGCGCGATGCGATTGATCGTGTCGTCTCTTTCGTCCGCCGATCGTCTCATTTCTTCACTCTCTCTCTAGAAGCCAAGCAAGGATGCTGCTTCTCTTACTTTTCTTCTCTCTCTCCACCTATCGCTCTCTCTCTAAACCAAGAGGGACTCTTATCTCCAGCGAGTCAAGCTAGGCTTCGACGACCCAGATGGTGTCTTATCCAACTGGAACGACCGAGACGACTCGCCATGTCACTGGTACGGTGTCACCAGCGACTCGGCCACCGGCTCCGTCAACTCAGTCGACCTCTCCAACGCCAACATCGCCAGTCCCTTCCCTTCTCTCCTCTGTCGGCTTCGCAGCCTCACTTTCATCTCTCTACAACAACTCCATCAACTCAACCCTCCCCTCCGATCTCTCCACCTGTCAGAATCTCCAGCACCTCAACCTCGCCCAGAACCTCCTCACCGGAACCCTACCGGACGCCATAGCCGACCTCCCAAATCTCAACCACCTCGATTTGACTGGAAACAATTTCTCCCGCTACATTCCGGCTACTTTTGGGAGGTTTCGGCGACTCGAGGTTCTCTCTCTTGTTGAGAACCTTTTCGACGGGGTCATTCCGGGGTTTTTGGGGAACATTTCGACTCTGAAACAGCTCAACCTCTCGTACAACCCATTTTCGCCGAGTCGGATCCCGCCGGAGCTCGGGAATCTGACGAACCTCGAGATCTTGTGGCTGACGCCGTCTCCGTTAATGGCATGTGAGTAAGAAGCTGAGGTGGAAAGTTGTCATGTTTTTATTGAATTGGGTACCAGGTGGACAAGCTTACGGGTACCATTGGGCTACCCAATATCCTCTCGTCTTTCTTGGCCCATTACATACCTGTATATTTTTATTTTATATGGCTTGCGTGCGCTGTACACTAATGTGATATCGATACAGTGCGTCCCTCATTGTTTGTTTCACATTTTTTATTGACGAGTACCGGAGTTATAAAAAAATTAAAATAATTCTCTATTTATGATTTAAAAATAATAATAAAATAACAAAAAAATAAGAAAAAAACTAAAATAACCCTCTATCAATACTCCATCTCTATTCTGACTCTGAACTTTCTTTCTCTCTCTCTACAACTGCCAACTACAAAATCTACAAGAATCAGAAGTTCAAAACCCATATATTTCAGTTTGTCTATCTATCAATCAAAAGTTCAAAACCTATATCCACATATCATTTCAGATTGTTCAAAAAAAAAATACTAACGTATTTATTTGCCCTGTTAATTAACGATTGGTTTGGGATCAATAATTTCGGAATCATGTATAATTTTTAGTCAGATGAGAGACTTGTTAAGTGCTTTGTGAGCTGGCCGGACAACATGGAGGTACAAAATGCAGAAAGATGAGATGAGAATGAGATGGAAAGTTAGCTGTTTAGTTGTGGATGTGGTTGGGTTCTGACAATTTAATTTTAAAAGTATTGCTGGATGTGTTTAAGTAAAGTCAATGCAATTGAATAATATAAGTAGATGACACAAATTCTACTGATGTATGTTTGAGATCAAATTCCTTTTTGTTACACAATCTAATTGGTGCAACAAAATCTAGCTGACAAACATCAATTCGAGATTGAAATCTTTGATATGCAAGCTAACTCTCTCTCTCTCTCTGCAACTGCAAACTACAAAATCTACAATAATCAGAAGTTCAAAACGCACAAATTCCAGTTATCTCTCTGCAAGAATCAAAAGTTCAAAATCTATTACCTATATCAAAACCCATATCGGCATATCATTTCAGATTGTTCAAAAAATCAAAACCCATATCTTTCAGTTTCCTTCGCCCATTGTTCTAGTTCGAGTTCGCCGTTTGCAAGCTTCGGCCGCTGTCTCTCAACTCTCAAGCTTGCCCCCCCTGCATCTGCTAACTTGTATATATGGGTTTTGTTTTAATTTTTTTTTTCTAAATCAACTAATCAAGGTCTATAATTCTTGTTTTACAAACTAAATCCTATTTGGTGAAATTTTTTATTTTCTTTTTAATATAATTTTTTTAGGGCAAATCATTTCAGCCTCCCCCCAATCGCTTCCATCTCTATTCTCGTTCTCAACTCTGAACTTACCCCCCTCCCCCTCCTCTCTCTCTCTCTCTCTCTCTCTCTGTAACTGCAAACTACAAAATCTACAGTTCAAAACCCATACAAATATATATATATATATATATATATATATATATATATATATATGATGAGGGCAGTAGAGGAATAATATAAGGGCAATTTCGAAATAAAGGCTTTAAAATGGTCATGTGCACACATGACCAATTGACATCCAATTCTCACCGGAATAGTCGCCGGAGGTGGCTTGATTGCACATTTTTATATCTAGTATGGATTTATATAAATAAATCTAACAAAAGGGGTGTAATTCGCACAAATTTAAAACCACATGGATGTTTTTCAGACTTTTTCCTTTTTATATATCTATATATTTCCTTAAAACATACTCTGTAATCAACATTACTCAGAAAATACCAACTATAGTCTTAATTATCTCTTGGTTACTGTCTACTTAGGATTTGGATCTCTCTTGTCCCTTATCTCATCATGTATCATCTTGTGAGCTAATACACTTGATCGATCATAATGTAACACGTTACATCACGAAATATAATACTTAATACAATAATAATATAATGTTTATGTAACACAATTATAATAGTGATGTAACATTCATGTAACATATTATATTCTGTTGCAACGCTACAATATTATTGAATTAAGAATTGAATAGATTTATGTACTTATTGCATTAATAATTTAAAGTTGTTACATTGTCGATTTAACCGTACAAGACAAACAAGTCATATTCTAGTGCCCCGGCCTTCAAGGATGGCCATATGACGATGCGAGTTTTTCACAATCTTCTTCATGCTTTTGTCTTGGCACATCAATTCAAATCCCAATTGATGTCCCAAACACAATATAGCAGTCCCAAAAAAAAGAAAAAAAACGAAAAAAAATCAATGAAGAGATTTTAGAATCTTGAAAATCCTACATCCTTGCAACATTTGGATCCCACTATCTGTCTCCCGCTTTCTCTCTCTTGTAATTTATATAGCGAAATTTTGTATGTATATGTGTGAGTATTCAATTTCATAACAAGATTGTGTCTGTATATGTGTGAGTTCTCAATTTCATAGCAAGAGTTTGTATGTATATGTGTGAGTATTCAATTTCATAGCAAGAGTTTGTCTGTATATGTGTGAGTTCTCAATTTCATAGTGGTCCAAGTAGTCACTGTATATAGAGGGTGTATCTCGGACAGAAAATGACTTAAAAGTACTTGTCCTTATCATTGCAACCATGTAACATGATGGTGGTGGTGGCCGGTGCTGGTGGTGGTGGTGCAATCTGTGTAGTGAAGGTTGAATTCCGCAATGATGTGAAATGGGAATCTCCTTTTGGCCACTCCAAAACAAATGATGGACCTAAAATACAACATTTGCAATTGATGTCATCTCAAAGACCATTTTGCAACACTCATTTTGTACCAGGTAAATCTGTTTTCATTGGCGAAAGGTCCAATCTGACCATAAAACTTGGGCTTCTTATCTGCACACACGTTAGGCTTTTGAAACGACTGGTCATTGATTTGTATTGGGAGGAAAACTTGACAAATATCAAATGTTTAAGTTTATCAGTTGTGGAGTGTTTGGTTCAACTGTGCATTCAGAATCTAGTCTCTATTTGTGATATGATATATAAGGGCATGTTCGGAAGGCCAAAACGTTGTTGGTTTTGTGGTTTTGGTTTCGGTTTTGGGCTCATATCTCGTTTGGTGTGGGCTGATTTGGTTTTGAATACTGTAAAAACAATACCAAATTTGGGCCAAAACCAATATCAAGAATTTGGTGATATTGGTTGATTTTGTACTGTAGCGGCGGTATCAGATTGGGCCGAATACTGTAGCGCTGGTATCAAGTGATACCAAACACTGTAGCAGTGATATGATGTATAAAAACATACTTTTTCTCAAATTAGGTCATTTGTGCCTCTTGTTTCTCTCTCTTCTCCCGCATGTCTGAGAGGCGATTTGGGGCGATTTGTTGTCTACCTTTGATATACAAAGGTTGTGCAAAGATCTTCGAAAGTTTGTAGATCCAACATCAAACCAGTGGTTGTCGTACCTTTCTGTTGTTTGATTTTTCTTTGTTTTCGCACATCTCTTTGACGCGATTTTGGGGTTTCAACTTCAACCCTTCTCAGTTCAGTCGTTGTGCGAGGTAGTTCGAGGCTTTTGTGCAACACCGGGTCTTTGAAGGAGCTGCAGGTAACGGCACTAGGAAACCTTAACCCTAAAATTAAGACTCTATTTGTATGTATTTTCAATTTCGAGTTTCTGTATGTGGAATTTTTGTTTAATTATGTTGGTGGTATTCTCAATTCTCAGATCTATGTCTGTTGTCTGATTTGTCTCTATTTTCGCGCATATCTTTGACGCGATTTTGTGGTTTCAACTTCAACCCTTCTCAGTTCAGTCGTTGTGCGAGGTAGTTCGAGACTTTTGTGCAACCAGTCTTTGAAGGAGCAGCAGGTAACGGCACTAGGAAACCCTAACCCTAAAATTAAGACTCTATTTGTATGTATTCTCGATTTCGAGTTTCTGTATGTGGGATTTTTGTTTAATTGTGTTAGTGGTATTCTCGATTCTCAGATCTATGTCTGTTGTCTGATTTGTCTCTATTTTCGCGCATATCTTTGACGCGATTTTGTGGTTTCAACTTCAACCCTTTTCAGTTTAGTCATTGTGCGAGGTAGTTCGAGGCCTTTGTGCAACCAGTTTTTGAAAGAGCTGCAAGTAACGACACTAGGAAACCCTAACCCTAATTAAGACTATTTGTATGTATTATCGATTTCCAGTTTCTGTAAGTGGGAAATTTTTTATAATTATGTTATTGGTATTCCGTATTTGTTATGGCTTGAATATAATTAGGAAGTGGTACTCTGTTTTCAACTTTATTTTGTGATTGAGTGCTGTATTTTTCTTTACCAATCCTGAATTAATTTGATTCTAAACTCCTTATTTAAAGACTAATTGGGCGAGCTTAATGAATCTTTAGACTTAAAATTGAATATGTTAGGTCGATTAATCTGTCTAAAGACAGAAATTTTAAGAAATTTTGTCAACATATGGAATATGTAGTTTTTTGCCATCATATGAAAATGTTAGGTCGATTAATCGCATATTATGTTTGTATTCTTCTAATTAGTAGTAGTGGTTACACCTTTTTTATTTTTTATTTTTTTTTTAATGCAGTACCTGAACTGGACACTTGTACCAGAAAAAGTGCACCAAAAAAAAAAAAAAAAAAGCCAAAATTAAAAATTGTATTATGATACTCATAATGTAAAGAGAAATGCAAATAATTACCTTTAATTACATATGTACTGCATAAATGCAAAGAAGTACTTTTATTTACATATGTACTGCATATACTGATACTTTGTTTGGTAGAATAGAAAAAAAGTTAGAGGGAACATTGAAAATAAGGGGTGAATGAGAAATTGGGTTTTTTTTTTTTTTTTTTTTTTTTTTTTTTTTTTTTTTTTTTTTTGATAGAAAAGAAGATAATAAATTAACAATTTATTATATTCTCAAGAGAGAATGAAGGATAAAGTTTTAAATTATTTTTTTCATTACGTTGAGTAATATTTATAATATTGTAATTGATAGTAATATAATATTGTAATTATATAATAATTTATTTCTCTTTCCCTTCTTCTTCCGCTCATTTTTGGACTGAATTTTTTTTTATAAAGAATGAAGAATGACACATTATTACTATTATCCTTTCTTTCATTGCATCATTATTATCCAACAAAAAATTGCCCCTTATTGAAGTGTTTTATAGATAGTACTTTCTTCACTTATCATTGACATGTTGAATTATGAGTCAAAACACAATTCAATGTACTAAACTGTTCAATTACTTAATAATAATCAGATGGACATGAACAATGACAATGTTGAGCAATACTCATCAAGAGACATTCATTCTCTTGATGATGAGAATAGTGAGGATGTTGTAGTTATTGAACAGGCTGATGCTGCTATTTGGTGTGATGCCCATCAAGAGAAATTCATGCTCTTGATGGAGGAAGAGGTTGGAAAAGGAAATCGTACAGGCACGACTTTTAATCCAATTGGGTGGACACATATTGTGGACGCAATGTTATTAGAAACTGGAAAGAAGTACACGAAGGACCAATGTAGACAAAAATTCAATAATATAAGAGCACTGTACAAAGATTGCAAACAAATATTATCTGAGACTGGTGTAGGGTATAACAGTGAAACTGGGATGATTGAGTTGGAAGCTGAAAGATGGGTTCGATTGTACAAGGTTAGTATTTCAATACGTGTCTATTTACCATTCATACAGTTAGTAATTAGTGATTTAGTATTAAAAGGGTTTGATGAACAATAATTGTAAGCTAATAACGTGTAGGTTCTCAAGTATGGCAAAAAAATAAAAAAACAGGGGTGTAAGAATTATAAGCAGATGGTAAGGATTTTTGGGAATACACATGTTACTGGCAAGCATGTTCATCCTTCTATGAAGCCACCTAGACCTCACCGAGTGCTAACAATGCCTCAAGTGGCAACACGTGAAGCTGAAATTCATAACACTGAGGGCAATGCGGGCATGACTGATGTAGAACGACCTAATGTAGAAGGACCTATTGACCTCAATTCTACTCCCAAACCTGTAGCTAAGAAACAGAAAAAAGAAACTTTTTCAGAAACAATGTCTTTAGTGATGGAATGTTTGACTAATATTGGGAACGCGAAAGCTGAGAAAATTGCAAAAGTCATAGCAGAATCATCTTCTAGTTGTTAACCATCTCGATTTACCGAAATGCCTGAAGTGACATCTCCCAGTAAAAAAGAAAAAGAAATGGATCCCCAGCTTGAAGAGTTCGTTAAGATCGTCAACACATTAGTGGGGATTGATGATACCCATTATGCTAAAGATCATAAGGATGTTTGGTGAGGACAAGGTGTGGAGGGACATATTTCTTCGCATTCCTTATGACAGGAAGGTTGGGTGGGTGATGAATCAGCCTCTGTGATTTCTTCGGTATCTTACTTTTATGTGCTTTTAAATGACTGCTTTATAACTGCTCTTACATTACTGTTGGATGACTGTAATGAATTTTTCTTATCTACTGCTTTTACATTATTGTTGGAAGACTGTATTTAATTCCTCTATCTACTACTTTTAAATTAATGCTGGATAACTATTTATGTTCTATATCTATTACTTTTACATTATTACTGGATAATTGTATGATTTGGTATGTCTTTTCCATTTTGCTTAATTTTTATTACAATAACTACTTCTGTTTATTCTTAAATAGGACAGTAGCTATGGACATAAGGACAATATTAACCATTTATGATGATGATGATGAGGAGGAAATTCTTGTATTGATCGCAGCCGTATATGAGTACTATCATAAACATTTTGATAAGCAACGTTGTAGGGATTCCATGTTACAAGGGGAAGATTACATATTCGAGCTCTTAAATGGACATGAAAATAGGTGTTATGAAAATTTTCGGATGTACCCCAACACCTTTAGGGCATTGTGTCGTGAGTTGAAATTGTTAGGATTGAAAGATTCAACATTTCTAACGATAGAAGAACAAGTTGCAATTTTCCTACTTACTGTGTCTCACAACGAAAGGAATCGTGTCATTGCTGAAAGATTCCAACACTCTACATCCACAATTTCATATCACTTTCATACTGTCTTAAAGTTAATTTGTGAGTTAGGGACTAATATTATTGTTCCCCCGGATTTGAATGAAATTCCTAAAGAGATAAAGAACAATCCAAAGTTTTACCCATACTTTAAGAATTGTGTAGGAGCCATAGATGGTACTCATATCCATGCTGTAGTACCAGTTGACCAACAAATACCCTTTCGTGGTAGAAAGGGTGATACGACCCAAAATGTCATGGCCGTGTGTTCATTTGATATGAAATTCACATACATTCTAGCAGGGTGGGAAAGGTTTGCTAATGATTCGAAGATTTTAAATGAGTGCATTCAGAATCAGGATTTCAATTTTCCATCACCACCCGAAGGTAAAAATATTACCTTTCCATATTTATGCATTTAACATTGCAAATACGTTAATTTTAATACTTAACATACTTAACATGACAGGTAAGTTTTATTTAGTGGACTCTGGGTACGCCAATCAACCGGGGTTTTTGACCCCTTACCGAGGTCAACGTTACCACATGCAGGAATATCGTAGACATATTAGATGATCACGTGGTAGAGAAGAGGTGTATAATTTTAGGCATTCGTCATTGAAGAATATCATAGAGCGATGTTTTGGGTTGGTAAAGATGAGATTCGCTATATTGAAGCAAATGCCCCCTTATCACTTTGACACTCAAGTTCTTATTGTCATTGCCTGTTGTACATTGCATAATTTTATAAGATCCCAAGGTGAATCTGATGAAATTTTTGATTCTGAAACCCCTCAATCTTCACAAAATGAACCTGATGTGGATGACGATGTTCAGGTGGTCAGTGCTACTAATACACAGATACGACAGATGGATATTTATCGTGATGGTATTGCCAACCTAATTTGGGAGCACTGTAATCACTAATTATAAAACTGTCTAATAGTGTGTAGAATTTTAATATGGATAACTGTAATTACTAATTATATTACGTAAATTAAACTCAGATGCTCCTTATTTATGGAAAACTGTAATAACTAATTATATCAGGACATCAAATATTAAATGCTTTAGTACTTGTAGGCGCACTTATGTATAGGTTTAAAGGTGAGCGACCACAATGTGCATGTGGTAGAGGTCCTATGCATCTGTATAGGGCTCGAACTCCAAAAAATGATGGTCGATAATTCTATAGGTGTCTAGCTCGGGAGGTATGGTTTTAAACTTTCAGCTGCTATTTCTGCTACTGTTTCCTAATTGTATAATTTATATTTCTTGTAGTCACATATGAATGCATTTATGTGGGTGGATGAGTTGCACCAAGGTGCACAAGTTGAAGAACAGGTTCAATCTGACTTGGACAGAGTCATTGCAATGATTCAAAATGAACAATGTAGACAGAAGTACATGCTCTTCCTAGGTTGTGGATGTCTTGCTATCACAATCATGTTTATTGTGATTGTCCTCTTGTTGCTCATTATCGTTGTTATTGAAAGATAAAGTTAGATAAACTTCCATCTTTTGTAATATATGACATGTAATACGTATTTAGTTAATTTCCTGTGTTTTATTTGGTATGTAATATATACTTAAATGGTATATTTTGAACTGCGTATTAGTTGCTGTTGTGTTCTCTTCTCTGTCATTTTGGGAGTAAGCTTTAGGCCATTTCTAAAATTTGCTACTGAGGTCATTTACACTCTATTTGCAACTTAGTCTGAAAAAAGGTTAGATATATCTTATTTAGTACTTCTAATTATTTCATTCCTACCGTGTGTTATTTTGTTTTTCTCTAATGTTGTTCATGTGTTTTGTTTTGCATGAGGTCATTTACACTTTAATCTACAACTAAGCCTGAAAAAAGATTAGATATATCTTATTTACTACTTCTAATTATTTCATTCCTACCGTGTGCTATTTTGTTTTTCTCTAATGTTATTCATGTGTTTGGTTTTGCATGAGGTCATTTATACTTTAAATTTACAACTAAGCCTGAAAAAAGGTTAGATATATCTTGTTTACTACTTCTAATTATTTCATTCCTACCGTGTGTTATTTTGTTTTTATCTAATGTTGTTCATGTGTTTTGTTTTGCATGAGGTTATTTACACTCCAAATTTGCAGCTTAGCCTGAAAAAAGGTTAGATATATCTTATTTACTACTTCTAATTATTTCATTTCTACCGTATGCTATTTTGTTTTTCTCTAATGTTGTTCATGTGTTTTGTTTTGCATGAGGTCATTTACACTCCAAATTTACAGCTTAGCCTGAAAGAAGGTTAGATATATTTTGCTTGAATTAAATTTGTGGACGGTGTCCCTTGTTAATTGAATTTTGTGGGCGGTATCCCTTGTTGAAATAATTTTGTGGGCGGTGTCCCTTGTTAAATGAATTTTGTGGGCGGTGTCCCTTATTGAATTAATTTTGTGGGCGGTGTCCCTTGTGTTTATTGTGTTTTGAAATTTTGGAAATGTCAATTTTTAAGGGGAAGTCATGCCGGATTTTTTAAAAATAAAATAAAAAAAATTGAATTTAACTCTGCTTTATATTTTGCTACTATAGGTAATATCTTGTTTTACATTCAAATTCATTTTTTGCTACTACATTAAAGGATATGGCAGTAAGTTGTAGGCAGTGGCACCAGTGGGATTGATAGGAAGCATTCTCTAGTTGCTGCAACTCCAGAAAGCTACTGATCTCTAAGTTAATCAAATGGAGGCCTGTGCAACTATAAAGAAGTAGGTGTACATTTTATGGAATGAATATTAGTGATCTCCAGTTGTGTGTACATTTTATGTAAGTGTAATGAAGTATGTGTGTACACACATACTATTTTTAAGGAATGTCTAGCTCATTATATGTGGAAGTATATATGTGAATGGTGCAACACTCAAGCTCTTAAGATTGTGATGTACAAAGCAAAACTATACGTGAAAGTATATATGTGAATGTTGTTCAGTCTTGTAAGAGGGATCTTCCTTGATTGCTTGCTTTTAATCTTTATTCATATTTATCAATTCTGCTTATGGTTGGATATTATATGAAATATTCACAAGTCTGTTATCAAAATAAATACTCAAGAAAAGGGGAAATGGTCTCGGGATCTTACAAAAAAAATATTACCAATTTGAAGGATCTCCACTACAAAATTTCAAACTAATCTAAGTGAAGTAATACTTTTTCTCACAAGCTTCAATATCCACCAAATCTCAACTCTGACCAATTCAAGACGATCAACGTTTTGGCTTTGTTTCTTGTTAGTTTGAACTACAAGGATCTCTCTCTCTCTCACATTCATTATATATATATATATATATATATATATATATATATATATATATATATATGAAACAAAACAAAGTTAAATGGAATGCAAGCCAAAAGAAAAAGATAAATAGAGTGCAAAGATCTGCTCTCATTGAAAGATTATTACAAAGTTAGATTTGTAATTTGGTTGCCATTAATCATGTTTATGCAGATTTATTCATTATTACAAAGTAGTTTGGTTGCCATTATACATGTAAATTTATTTATAATTTTTTTTCCCAACTCTAATGCAGAATTTTTTTTTTTTTTTTTTTTTTTCACAAATTATCTCAAATCATAAAGAAAAATGAACTATTTTACATATAAACTTATAATTGTGTTCATATATATAATTTTTCAAAACAAAAACAAAACAGTCTTTACCAAACAGGTATTCTGTTATTGATTCAAAATTTTTGATAACAAAACACTAGTCCCAAACGTGTTTTGTTTTCGAATTCCTGAAAACGCATGATAATACCAAACGCGTTATCATGTTTCTGATATACAATTATCAAAAACAAAACAATCGTTACCAAACATGGATCCGATTTCTACTAAAAATATACCAATACCAAAACGGTTATTTTCATATCATACCAAACCATAACATATAACGTTATCGCCATCCAAACGGACCCTAAGCGTGTTAAGGTTTGTTGTGTGGGAAAAAAAACACGAAAATAAAGACAAGATGGAGACTTGATAACTTGTAATCTCCTTTTGTTTATTATGTGGTGCACCGTGGTCTTAATTTTTTTTCTATTTTTGTTTCTTGATTGTATTTGTGGTTTGTTGGTGTTTATCGTAACATCAGCTTTACACAAAGTAATTGCTCAAAAATATGAATATGTGAGGTTATACTTGTCAGTTCAAGCTTTTATCATACTTAAAGTGTGATATTTTATACATACATATATGTTATTATTGTTATAGCATGGGTATAATAGCCTTAATGTGTAGATCCAAACATGGTTTTGCTAAATTAAATTGTGTGATCCTCCCAACACCCTTACACAGCACCGTGCTGTGCACGGGAGTGGATTGGAGTTCCACAATAACTCCCACATAAAAACATCACATGGATAAGCGATGTTTCTTTCAAATTGGAGAGTCAATACTCATATATATCTATATATATATATATAATTGAAGTATTTCAATAATAGGTTTAAAGAAAGAGAAATTATTAGATGATCGGAGACATCACACAATAAAAAAAGATGAATAAAATTTATTCATTTATTTACATGATAATTAATTTGCAGCTGCCCATCGAGATCATAACATCTGTAGACTATCTAATAATTTATCCTTAAGATCTCGGTTGGGAATTAGTAGGCTCGATGGATTCCAGCCACATGAACTAACTTATCAACCAATTTAGGCATGAGTGTTTTTGCTTTTCTTTCAATGATTAATTACCATATATGTGTGTGGGTGTCAATCACTTACCTAACTAGCATATAATTTGTTTACACTTGGGGGAATATATATATCATCAATAAGGCAAGGGAGTGGAGGGCATGTGTCCTTGTCGTTCATTAATATATATGATTGATCATATGATCTACTAGAGTAGTTGTTTAATTTTCATCAAAATGAACATTATGTCGTCCAATCAAGTATTGAAGATATTTCCACAACCCACCTTCTATACAATATTAGTGTGGAGTTGCATTTCTGACCTAGACATCAATATGTAAAATAAATTGGAGTTGTCACATTCGTGATGATGAATTTATAAAGTGAATTAGACTTGCCCCATTCAATGCTCGACTCCTATTAGTTCATCCAATAAACAAACAAGTTGAATTTATGAACCTATAGCTTGGATGTTGTCGAATGCACTACTTGTATTTTTTTTTTTTTAATGTTATTTTTGTTTAACAAAGAATCAACTCATCTTTTAGTCCCTTTAGATTTTCAGATGGTTTACAAAAATTCAAATGCACACAACTACAAGCAAAAACACGTGCATACTTCACTTTTAATAAAATACAAATGCCTTAACGGTTCGACTTTTATATACTTAGATTTTTGGATGGTTTACAAAAATTCAAATGCATGCTTCACTTTTAATAAAATTCAAATGCCCTAATAGTCGGGCTATCCATATAATTAAACTCGACTTTTATATACTTAGATTGTGGATGTATATATGTTTTCTTGGTCTAGCTGAACTTTCAACAGGTTTCTTACTCGTTTATTGGTAAAGATTGTAATATAATATACTAAAATAAAAAAAATTCAAACAATATGATAAAACTTAAAATAAAAAATTTACAAGCTCAAGAGTTGAGCCGAGCTTACTCGAGAAAAATCTAAGCCGCACTTAGTTCAAAATTTTAAGGTTGTCATCCTAGTTAAGCTCGTGAATGAAAGAGTTAAACTTGAACAATCTCAAGCTCGCCACTAGGTTGATTTGCCGTCCCATTAACAAAACAACTCATGTTGTGAAGTAAATAAATAAATAAATAAATATAAAGCTCATGAACACTTGAGAAATTTTGATTATTAGTATGTCAAATTGTGATTGGCCAACGGTCTGAGTCTCATTATAAATATATACTTTCATTGTCCTCAAAAGCACAGCCATGCTTGCAGAAAAGCCAAGCAAGGGAAAAACAGAACCATAAAGTCATTGATATCATAATATTAATGGAAGGTCTGAAAAGTTTCAGAAGATGTGGGTTTATCTGTGTTACGTGTGTGAATGCCTGCCAATCCATACACTAACATTGCACCTTATCAACTCACAATTATTGTACCTTTTACTTTTCAGTATATAATGTAATCTTATACAATCATGGGCAAACAAGCTCAATAGCATTGTCCCCAGTGCAGTGGGCACAAACATTCAAAAATATATCCCTTTCAAGCCAACCCATGAGCTATGCATAAAGTGGTATGTCGCTGTTGCGAGAAGTTCTCAAATACTTCCGGTTATCATATCGTGAGTCTCTCAGTCGTTAGATCATTTATCAAGTGAGCTGTTTAACGGGGCATGATACAGAGTACTCTAAAATTTTCCACTACAATTGCCTACCCTACTAGTCTCTCCCATATGAGGTCTGTCATACTCTTTACTTATACTATATTATATATATAAATCTCTACATCTCAGAACTATGCGTGTGAGAATTGTGGACTCATGGATACAGTACGCCCGAATCGAATTACCTTACTGTCTAGTTGCATTAACCTCAAGGTCCAACTGTGGCTTTTCTTCAATAATTTGTGGACTACTCTTGTAATTGTATCGACGAGCAACGACTAGAAAATATATCAAGTTCAGAACCCCCATTCCTGCTATCAGGAAGTAAAAATAATCAACCTTGCCGGCATTAATATCCTTTGCCAACCAATCAGGCCTACCATGTTTCCCGGTCACTCCGTGCACAATGGTGATCAAGAAGCTGCTCAAGTAGTTAGCACCCGCCACGGTACAAAAGAAGAGAGAATTAGCCACGCTTCTCATGTTCTCCGGAAACTCCTTGTAGTAAAACTCAATCTGTCCAATAATATTGAACGCCTCGGCAAAGCCCATCAGAACAAGTTGGGGTGCGAGCCACATCACTGACATTGGTGCAACCCCATTAGGCCTAGTGTGCGACCTAGCGTAAGTCCTCCTCATTTGCTCGATCAATCCGGCGACGACCATAGACAGAATTGAGAAGACAATGCCAATTCCAATTCTTTGGAGGAGTGTGATCCCACCTTCCAGTTTGGTGATCTTTCGGAGATATGGCACGGCGACTCGGTCGTAGAAGGGGATCCATAACCCTACTGTGACCATGGATATGACTACGAGCGATCCCGGAGGAATTTGGAAGTTCGGTCCAAGGTGACGATCCATTTTTAGGGCTTGTGATATTGTGAATGTTGCTTGTTGTGCAATGGCAGTGAAGCAAATGATGCCAGAAGCCCACACAGGGACTATTTTTATGAGGCATTTGACTTCTTCTATTTGTTGGATGCTGCACAGCCTCCATTGATTTGTAGGAGAGCCATCAGCTTTAACTTCACCTTCCATTATCATAGCAGCTTTGTTTAAGAACCTATGGGATAAACAAAAATTGAATAATTGTAAAAAATAAGTGAATAAAGAATGAATTTGAGTATGATAAGTGGTACTTATGAATTGCAAAAATCTTTTTATTATGAATTAGTTAACCGCACAAGGCTTTTGTCGAAGTCTGGTCCGTCCGGGACAAATTTAATGTATGCAACCTTATTAAAACAGCGTGTATGACTGTATGACTATTTTTTTTATTTCAAACTTATAATTTGAAATATTTATTGAAACTATCTTAGCATTATGCCAAACTGACCTCACATGATTATTCGGACCACTCACGAGGTCAATTTAGCATTTTTCTCTTGTCTACTTGTGAGCGTATGGAATTCTCTATGTTTTTTTTTTTTGTTTGGCACAAGCATGACAATAACTAGAGGACCATTTGATGCCACATGGGTATGTTCACGAGCGAAATGTACGACCAAGAAGCATTTATTAATATCAGTCCACCAACTTGAAACTTCATTTTCAAAACAAATATATATATTACCTAAATGACCAAATGATAGAATTGTATCAATATCAACACTATGTTATAGCAATTCCCCCAAGAAATGTAAGGTGTGGCAATGAAATTTCACCTAATTTATTAATTTTGAACATTAAGTATTCATTTCCATATTTTGCTAAATAAAAACTAAATCCGAATCTAGAAGAATCAAAAGTCAGACGATCCATGCACGTACTAGTAATTTTGATTTACAAATTCTAAATACAAACTTACCTGAATTGATTGGTGAGAGGCAGCTTTGTCACAATAGTTTCCGCCAACGGCGGGTCGTAAAAAACCCCGTCTGCCTCCCCATCAACCGGAAGCTTTACGTGGCGTTTCTTGTATGCCGCGACAACCCCCTGCGCGATGCCGGAAAACACACTCCCTTCCGGCTTGACATGCACGTACATCTTGGTGCCCCAAAAGAAGAGCACAATGGAACAACACATGAGCATTGTGGGAATGCCAAAGCCCCAAACCCAACTAACAGAGTCTTGAATGTAGACCACCACGGTGAGAGCAATGAGCATGACCAAAGTAAATGTGGCGTAGTACCAATTGAAGAAACTGTTGATCCCTTTCCTTCCTTCGTCGGTGGTCGCATCAAATTGGTCCACACCGAAGGGTAGGCTACAAGGCCTTATGCCACCGGTGCCGATGGAGAGCAACCCTAGTCCAATTACCAAAACACCCAAATGAAGTGTGGTGGGACCCTTGCACCGGTCGAGTTGGACTTCTTGTGGGGTGCATGGAGGAGGGTGGAGTTTGGAAATCCAAACTATTAGTGTCAATGTCACCATTCCCTGCCAGTCACCATTACACATGGATCACACCAGTTGGTAGTAATTTTTTTAATTAAAAGACAAACAATAATAATAATAATTTATTTTTTTATAGATTTAAGGTGAGTTGCATCTAATATATGAAAATGACATTTCGTTTTGTTTAGTAGAGCTTGGTGGCCCAATCTATGTACACCAAAATAAAGATCAATGAAATTAATCACATTATGGAATATCTAATATGAAAAGATCGAACCACTTTATTTACGTCACCTGATCTAGAGATCTTATATTTAATTCTTGAAGGCGTCAAATACTTTGACATTAATTTTACTTAATATTCGTGATTTGAGAATGATTTGAAGTATTCAAAAGGAATTAGAAAAATTGTTGAAGGCATTAAAAATAAAAAATAAAAATTTCAACAGGAATCATATTGATGTACATATTGACCATATGAATTTGTTTTAATGGTATGAATCAGGTTAAATTAATTTTAAGGATAATACTTAAATCCTAAGTATTATCTCACCATTTTTAATTTAATAATTAAATATGTATCTATTATCTCTAGTATGATAATAAACAAGGAGTACATCCTTACTCACATATGAGGACTCAAATATTATCCAAATTTTAAATATTAAAGAAAAGGGTAAAATCATGAATGAATGATTACACTAATCTAATTAAAGGATGGAGACTTAAGTTTGAGCACCACTATATTGATAATTAAAGAAATCAATCTTCAAAATCAGTAATAATTGTCAACAAGACAGAAATGGATAAAGGGAAAGAAAAGACAAAATAATTAGCACCACCAAGCAAATTATTCAACGAAAAGTTTAAACACACTAGAGTACAATATTTTGGGTCTCTCAGTGAATGAATCATTGATTGAAGCAACCCAACTATCATATGTAAAGGCAGGACCGGAGATATGGTACCGGGTATTCTAGAATATTCCATCAAACAACAACGTGAGATTACAAGAAATTCAAAATCAGAATCAAACCCTTTTTTATTATTATTATTTCTCCTTTTTGCAAGCCAAACAATATATGGACCTTCAACCCTTAACTTTTAATTTCTCCATACAAAAGGAGAAGATATTGGAGCTAAATGCTCCATAAAAATAAATAAAAATAAACATATGAAGGAAATAATAATTGAGTGAAAAAACGATACTAGTTAGATAATCACATTATATATATATGTGTGTGTGTGTGTGTATATGCGCATACATACCAGAAGAGATGCAAAGGAGGAGACCGCAATGGTAAGAAAGCGGCCCACATAGGCATCACAAATGAAGGCACCAAGCAAGGGTGCAAAATTAGTGACGCCTGACCAAATGTTGAGTAGGCTTGCAGCAGAGGCTTGATCCATGTGAAATTGAGTCATCAAGAAAACAAGAAAGTTGCCCAACAACCCAATCGTAGCTAGTCTCTCAAATGTTTCATTTCCTACAAAAAGTACCACGTACCACAAAAACCTTTTGTCAGCTTATAAACAACTAGCTAGGATCGAACTACCACTATATGTATGTCTACATATATATATGTATATGCATGTATATACACATATATGTACAAAGATATCATCGCCATCACACACATGTATATGTTTGTTTAAGCGGTGAGTCACTTAGCAGCCTTGATTCTCATGAAGTATCGGATATGTATATATATACACATATATGTACGCATATTATCATCTATCACATATATAGTTAGATTACCGGAGTGACATAATATTGATTCAAAATAAGAAACAACCACTTCACATACTGAGATAAGAATACGTACATCAAACACTCATGGACACTTTGGTGGTTCTGTGTTTTTATGTATGCCTACGCATGTAGACATGCATGTCTACGTATAAATGTTTGTGTGTGTGTGTGTGTGTATAAAGAGAGGGAGAGCAAAAGACCTAGGACAAAAGGCATGGACTTCCATCCACCAGGGATTCTTTTCTTTGACTTCAGATTTGATACAGCCTCGTCGTGCTTCTTCTCCTCGGAGTCACTTTCCGGTGACCTCAAAGAAGAAGGAGGAGAGAAGGGAAAGCATTTGGTGTAGCAAAGTAGCCAAGAAGAGCTTATCTGTTTCTTCTTATCCTCCACCTCCATTTTTTTTTTCTTTTTCAGCAGATAAAATATCCCCCACTCACTTCCTTTACATATTACACACCTTAGTGCATATATATATACATACAGATGCAGGAGAGAGAAAGGATGGGATGATTGAGTGGCTGATGTCAAGTGGGTTGGGGATTATGGCGTGCTAATTCCAACCGGTAAGGCGACAATGAAGTTTGCTTTTTAATTCAGGACAGGCCAGGCTGGCCATTTTTCCTCGCTACACAAAAGAAACGACCAAAATTAATTGCGTGTTCAATTTGGGCCTACTGTTTGGTCAGTCAGTGTGAAAGTCAATTTTTATGGTTCCATTGAATTGGATCATCTTAACAACCATACGTCATTATGAGTCCAACATCCCTCCACTGGAACGGTCTATACCGGCCCCAATACTAAATATCTTAGGGAAGTGATGTATTGCCAGACTCCGACTGACAGTCGGTGAGTCGGTGGGGTCGATCTGTACTCAGAGTTGGAGAGTCGGGAGTCGAGCATTGTAGTGGATCTCTCTTGTCCCGTGTATTATTTGATGTATCGCATCAAAACTGACAGACACCGAATCCTCTGTGAACAGAAAATGATTCGGGTTCTTATAACAATACTTAATTTTTTTCGTAGTTCTCTCGATCTCAATTTAGAAGATGTCGAACGAGACTAATGGATGGGATACTCGTACAATTTTTAGAAGATGTCGAACGAGACTAATGGGATGGAATACTCGTACAATTTTTCTAATGACGTGTAACAACATTACTCGGTTGAACCAAAATTATCAAAAAATTTCTCCTTGCAAAATTTTGAAAAGACTAATGACAAGACTTGGCACTCGATGCATTACACCCATATTGAGAATTGAACAAAGGGTGCCTATTTGTACAAGATGTGAATACTTAGTTGCATAAATTTCTTAGCAGAGTTTGTACACTTGTATATACAACAACAATGAGTTATTTACAAAAATAAATAAATAAGTTCCTAAACTATATGAATAACAAATGGAGTGATTAATTGTACAGACACGATCCAAAATCAAAGGGATTCAATGGTTTTGAAGATCCATCAATAAGACTTCTTTTTCTCTTCATCAATCTGTTTTCTTAGCTCATCATTCTCTTTTTTGGCTTGAATAAGTTCCTGTACTAATTTTTTAATCGCCAATTTAACTTTAACAGTTTCTGCAAACAACTTCTATAATTTTTCTTCATCTATCTCATATTCTTGAACCTATTCATCATGAATTTCATTGCTTTCATCATCTAAAATGTCAGAATAAAACTAAGTAACAATTGAGGACCTTTATAAAAAAAAAAAAACAAACAAAAGAAAAATAATTGCAATTATCATAAAAGGATTTATTATCACTACAAGTAGAATCATCATAAACTGAAACTTTCATTACTTTTCCTTTATTCTAATCTTTTTGTTCTTTCTTTGGACTAGTACAAATATTTGAAGTGTGACATTTGCCACCGCAATTCCAGCAAGTAAGTTTAGTTTCTTTACATTCTTCTCCATTTTTTTTTTTTTTTTTTTCTTCACATTTATCTTAAAATTTGACCCCTCGCCAAAATTTCGAGGATTGACCCCATTGTTGTTCCTTCCTCTTTGTTGTCTTTGCAAAAACTGATAAAATTGCCTAGATAAGAGAGCCACATCTTCATCAGAATTTTCATCAACAATGTTATCAACTTGAGTTGACTTTAAAGCAATATTTTTTTCTTTCCGATTTTGACTAAAATTCCGCATCTCAAAATTTTTTAGAGAACCCATAACCTCATCTACTTTAGTACTAGACAAATTTCAATGTTCAATGATAGTTTTTACCCTTATTCAAAATCTCTTAGGTAAAGACCTCAAGATTTTCTTGCAAATTTTCTTATCACTAACTCTTTTACCTAAGTGACGAAGTTCATAAATAATTTCAAGAAGACTAGAATAAAATTTAGAAAAAATTTCATCTTCTTTCACCACAATGTTCCCAAACTTATGAGAAAACATTTGAATTTTGGATTGCTTTACTTTTGAAGTCCCTTCATAAGTAACCTGCAAAATATCCCAAGTATCTTTTGCAGTTTTACAATAAAAAATTCTAGTAGTATATTCATATGGAACAATATAATTAATACTTGTATACAAGGCTTTTCCATTAACATCACTACGCTCAGTTTTAAGTTTAGTGAAGGTGAAAGTATCTTTTAAGACTTGAACAACCTTACCATCCACAGTTTTTTCCTCAGTTGGAGGTGTATTGTCTCAACAATAGCCCAGACTTTACCTCCTGAATTTTGTAAATAAGCTCTCATCTTTGATTTTCAAAAATTGTAATTGTGTTATTTAAATAAAGAACCACGTTGATTAGATCCACCCTCTTTCAAAACATAATATATGATGAAAGAATTTTTGAAAATAATCAAAGTTTTCTCAGTAGGATCAACTCAATGTGTAGAGATTGGCTCTGATACCAATTGTGAGTTGTGCAGTGGAATAAATTGTGAAAAGTTTAAGTTTTTATCTAGAGATTATTTAATCACGTGTTTTTTTTTTCAATTAGCTTTACTTAAATTAAAAAATAATTAAACAATTATATGCAAAATAAAAGCAAATAAAGTTTAAGAGATGACATCAGGATTTTTAGCGAGGAAATCCTGATTGGCAGAATAGATCAATCGTTGTGAGAAAAATTTCGTGAACTGTGCAGTCCAGAGCAAAACGATCCAATATGTTTGAAACAAAGTACAATGAACTTTAATTCACGCTCACACCCTACCATTCTAATAAAAATCAATTGCTGACAATCTCTAGCTTTGCGATGTCCCATCCAACAGCTCTCAACTCCAGGCTTACACTTGATTTATGTAGAAGGATTGCTAGTAGATTAAACAACACTCCTCGAATGCTTTGACTTTTTCAAAGTGTGGTTGCTTCACCCATTTTCTTCAAGGTATGAATTAATAGATCTTTTTTCTTTGATCGTTGTAGATACAATATATACACTTTGAATATGATCAGAAATTGAACAACACCCTAAAATCACTTTTGTGTTTATGTGTATGTTCAAAAATAAAATCAGAAAAATCAAACTGATTTTCTGAATAAAAATCTCTCAAAAAGGCTTTTAATGAAATTAGAAATTTTAATACAAAAAGCCACACAAACCTAAATAAGAATATATGTTTATATAAACTTTCAAAAATCTAAATATGCTTAGAAAAGAAGTTAATTTTGTTCATAGGTCTTTTGGAAAGAAATCTATATCAAATAGGAAATTTAAACAAAACAAGAATCAAAGTTACCAAAATCTGCAAAAGACCTTGAATCGGTTCAGAATCCTTGAACCGATTCAAGTTGGCTAGTGTTGAATTGATTCGAAGTATGAATCTTGAACTGGTTCAGCTGTATGGAACCAATTCAAGTTGGCCAAACTTGAACAGAATGATTAAATACTTAGAAAATTTTCGAAAAATGCAATTTGTGAAAAACATACTATGTTAGCAAGTGTTCTAACCTTCTCAATTAACTTCCTAAAATGTTGTTCATACTTTTTCGTAAACTTCAAGCTATTTAACACAAACAACTCTTCAATTACGCAACTGATCTTGATCTTGAATTATAAACTTGAAAATACAATTCGATCGGACTTGTTTTGACACCGAAATTAGTCAATTACAAAATACATATCTCACATGAAATACTTAGTTGCATAAATTTCTTAGCAGTTTTTACACGAATATATACAACAGCAATTAGTTATTTACAGAAATAAATAAATGAGTTTCAATGGTTTTGAATGAGTGATCAATCATTCAGATTTGGTATGATTGTAGAGATCCGAATTTGACTTTGTTGCTTGATTACATGGATCTTGTTTGGATCTTATAGTACCAAGTGCCCATTCAACTAGTGTGCAATTGCACATACGAGCTTAGCAAATTGTCACAGAGCCACGGTACTGCATTGGCTACTATATATATATATATATATATATATATATGTCTGCAGTAATAGATGAATTCAAATTCTTTGCACATAGATTGTTGGCACGTCTCTGTATGATATTACGCAAGTAAGTAGGGTGTTTGTATTGTTAGAGAATTTAAGTATTAAAAGTACCTTAATTTCCAACTGTTTAAATTTTTAGAATGGATTATGACATTAGAGCCATTCGAGTTTTAAGTTCAAATTTTATCAGTCACTTCAATAACTAAAATTAAAACACGTGTTAAACTCAAGAAAGATCACACATGATGAAAATGGTTTAAATTTTATTGTCACACTTTCTATAATAATTTAAAATTTTAAAGTAGATTGTTGTTAATATGTATATGTATACGTATATGTGTGTCTCTATATATGTGTGTGTGTGTATATATATATATAATTTACCAGTGTGTGTTACATAATTTATTCTTTGCTGAAAGGCTTGCATGCATCAGTTCTGTAGTGTTATTGTCCGCATGAGAGTGCATGATGCATCCATGCTAGCTAGTTGATGCGTACTCGCGCGATCTATGAATGCAACGCCAAAACAATAGTTGATAAATTACTCGATTTACCGAAGTGGGCCTTGGGCTGAAAGCATATCTCAGTAGGATGCTTTTGGCCCAACTTGTCTATTTTTTCATTTTTTTATATTTATTTTTATGTTGGCAAGAAAGACAGTTACATTCTCACTCTTGAATTCTCGACTTTTTTTCTTTGAAAGATGGGAAAATTTCACTAGGCCAGAGACAGAGTTCACTCCTTGTTGCATCAATCTTCGCAATTCCTATCCCATTTTCCGTACTGGTGGTGTTGGGCTTGTCTATCAATTACTCTTCAGCCTTGAGTTCGTTTGGTTTGCTCGGGTTGGGCTTTGTGCTTTTGGAGCCTTTTGTAGTCTCTGGGCTTCTGGGCCTTGTAGGTTCTTCTTCTGTTTGGGCCTTTCTTCTTGTTCGGCCGGTAAAGTATCCCTGGCGACCTTTGTACAGTTTCTTCTTCAGTTTTACACACTATTTATTTACCAAAAAAAAAAAATTATTGTGGCATGTGCATTGATTTAACTAATCTGTGACGTGATTATATG